GGCTGATCCCAGCCTATTTTAGAAAAATTGATACTGGGGTTACCTTCATCGTCACATGCCTGGAAGCCGATGTTTTTTATGGTGAAGGGCATGTTCGACGTTCACCCAGCTGACCCGCCTTTTAAGCACCGAGGCATGAGTACATCTTTTGGGACGCTGAGTGAGTTGCTTTCAACCGCCTGTTTTCAGTGCTTGTTCTTTTATTATATACTGCTGACTCTTTTTGCCCTTAGTTCCTCAGGACCGTCCCCAGCTTTCTGGGAATCACCTCGCGAGGGTGAAAAAGCCCTTCCTCTTCCCAAAGTCCTTTTGTCACGTCAGCACTTTCCTAACACGTGACAACTTGGAGAGCTCTAGTTTGCTACTTTCCCTTCTTTCCCCTAACAATACCGTCGAGGTCAAGGATTTCTTTAACTTCACGGCCGGAGGTCAGTTTCAATGTTTTTCTTTACGTGTCATCAGTATGTATTTCTAACTTCGACTGTGACGTAGATATGAAGAAATTGCAACTACGCGTGCCTGGCGAGAAGAGGCGTTCTAAGAAGGCGACACCTAGTGAGCAGTCGAGTGACCCTCCTGCAGCCAATGTCCCGCCGAGGCTCCCATCTACCGTCGAGCCTTCTCCTTCCCGGGGGACGACGAGGCAAAAGAGGCCTCGACCGGATGAGACCGAGCCATCACCGGTGATCGATATCACTGATGCTTCAGAGGCCCCTCCGCCCCAAGAGCGCCTGCTGCTTCCCGGGCAAAGGGTTATTGTTTTTGATATTGCCTCTACCCAGATTGAAGCTGCACTGAGTTTGCCCCCGCACTTTTCCGTCGTCTTCCATGCTCTGTACGAGTCCTTCTTTGAGCAGGACTGGGATGGCGCGACTTGGGCTTCCTTGGTCAACCATATGCGCCAACAGATCTCCCTCCAGATCCATGTACGTTTTGCCCCTTGTGTCATGCATTTTGGTCTTCCTCTCTCTTTTCTTTTTCCATATTAACAAATTCTTTTTGACTTGGCAATCCCTCGTCCTCCCTATTCTCAACTTCTTGGACTTGGTTAAGGTGGACGAGAGAAGTAGGGGAACGGACCGCGTCGAGGGACGTTTGAAGGCTCTCCTAAAAAAGGCAAAAGATAGTCACGAGGAGACTTCAAAGGAGCTTACCCGCGTCGCCAAGGAGCTGGAGGAAGTGAAAGTAGATCTAGAGCGTGCCAAGAATGAGGCTGAACGC